TTAAAACTACCCGGGGCAGGGTGGTAACCAGGGTTGGGCTAGAGAAGAGGGTTGGAAGTATCGTGACAGAGAATAGAGGGACCAAAATCCTAACTGGAAGGATGGGGAAAAGGACACATATGTGCCTCCCCATGAGCGCCAAAAGCCGAAGGATTCGGAAGGTGGTCGGTCTAAGGATATGCTTTCTCGTATACTCAACAAATTTGACGGGTCGAAAAAGATCTTGAAGGAAATGAAGGAAGATGTGTCGACCCTGAGCCAGACCGTCACCTCCCATTCAGTTTCAATCAAGCAGCTTGAGACCCAAATGGGTCAGATGTCATCTCACCTAAATCTAAGACAAAAACAGGGTTTGCCTAGTGACACTATGGTCAACCCCAAAAATGAGGTTTGAAACGTGGACTTGCATCGTGCCACGACGTTAACTAATCGTTGTTTGGGAGGCAACCCAAAACCATTTATTGCTTTATGGTTCTTTGATAAAATAATGGTGTGTTGATTGTGTGAAGAGTGAACGAAAAGTGCAGATTGGCGAGCAACAGGTCTAATCAGTGGATCGCCGAACGATTTGGCGACCCCGAACTAGACCGTCGCTAGACTCAAGACCAACTTACATTAGAGTTGTAAAACTCAGCGAGAACAGGAAATTATTTGCGAATCGCCGATCATGTCGGCGATCCCCACGGAGACCGCCGTTTGGACTCCCAAAATAACTGGAAGTTCTGTAAAATTGGCGAGGCAAGTGGCTACTGGGAGAAACGCCGAGTGGTTTGACGATCCTGACTAATGTCACCGAATGGGCGAAAATTAGACGGTTTTGTCAGGCCAAAAGTTTAAAAGTTTCAAAATTCATTCCCTTTCCCTCACCTTTCCATCTTCCCAAATTCACACCCGCACTCTAGTTTTTATATTTCTTGCATTTTTAGGGTATTTTTAGTTGTTGATTTGTGCTCGGAACTTGGATTACATTGCTACCTAGCCATTCAATTTTATTTTAGTCAGCACGAAAGGTTGGTTCCCAAACTATGAGTTCTTTCTATCGATTTTGTACTCAATGCAATGATGTTACCTTGTTGATGTATGTTGGGTCTTTTTGGTAGGATTAAAAAAAATTGTTTGCCTGTTAGATTCACTAATTTTGCCTGTACTGAGTTAAATAGTTAATTCCTGAAAATTGTACCTTGAAGGAGATGAAAATTTGTGGGTTGTGTATGAGTATCATTGGGTCTAAGCCTAATTTGAGTTGTGCATGCCTTTATTTTATTTTCGTGGGTTGTGGGGTTGAATTCGAGAATGTGGGTTGCATGAAGGCACATTGGGCCGTTTGGCGAGCTGGGTCGAGCTCGCCGAACCACTACCACTTTGCGGCTCGCCTAATGACCCTATCTCGCTTTTAATTTCATGCTATGTGTTTTGTTGGTTTCTGAACCATTCGGCGAGAAGCATGAGTTCGTTAAAAGCACTCGGCGAATCGCCAAAAGTCTTCTTGTTCACCCTTTGTCTGCACCCCTTGAACCCCCACTACACTGAAACCTTCGACATGCAACCCCTTGCTCGCCAAAAGTATTCGGCGACTCGCCGAAAGGATTGGCAAGTCTGCCTACAGTTGATTGTCCTTGTTTTGTTTGTCGAATATTTTCTAACTTTGCCTCGAAGCTTTGCATACATGGCTAGACCTAAAGTTGCAGGGAGAATCATGTCACCCCGACAGATAAGAGCGAAAAATTTCAAGAAAGATACAAATGAAGCGAATCCTCCCAAGACGGGAAGTGAGGGCAAAAAGCCTAGTTCCAGCAAGAGATTTGTCCCCCGAGATCCCATTGTCTCTTCGTGGACTCGTGGATTCTACACAACTATACATTCCTTTTTGGCGGCTCATGAATTGGATAACTTTAGCAAGTCAGTTGCCGCTAAACCTTCTGAAGTAGCTCCGGGAACTATTATCCAAGTCCAGGCTAACACATCAGGCACTGATACCCAGACAGATGGAGCGACCACTTAGACATGATCCCCTCTTTACCACCCTCTCTGTCTTTCTTTAATTTACATTCTGGATATTTTATTATTTGCATTTGAGGACAATTTTTTTTAATTGTGGTGGGGTGTGGCCCACCTTTATGCATATTTGTTTTGTTTATATATTTGGGTTAAAATTTATAATTGTGTTAATACTGCATTTTGTGGATGTTTAAGCTTGTGGCTCCGTATTTTATATTACAAAATGATTTTGACCCTTCCAAAAATTTTTGCCACCTCTTTTGTGTTGCATATGACTGTTCTTTCGCAAATTTGAGTATCAGTTCCGATCAATACCGATGACTTGAATAGTGCTCTTAATCGAACAAATATGAATGTGCGGCTACGATGAGACCAAGTGAAGTTGCATAGACAATATGTGAACTCTTTGCATCTCGTTGTGACTAGCCAATTATTAAATCGAGTCTCTTGTGATGATTATTGCACCCTAGCGAAAGTGTGAAGTCTTGTTTAGCTTTAGTGTCGATGTCTTGTGTGATGAGCTTACTATGAACCATACATGATAACACCTAGAATTTACCCTGTTGGTCCGGT